TAGGTCTGTCTTGAAAGTGAGAGATAGAATATTAAAAAACTCTAGAATATCACATTATATTTATTGAAAAAATAAATATTCCCCCCCCCTACCAACCAGCAATGATTCAGGCCCCACAGACTGGTTATGTGACCAGGAGGCATATAGACTAGTCCTATTATTACTCCCAATCATGTACTCATTACCTGTATAAAAGACACTAGTTCACAGAATCCTTCAATGAATCAGAATCTAATCTCTTCACAATGGGCAAGATGAAAGAATTGTCTAAGGACATCCGGGACAAAATTGTATACCTGCACAAGACTGGAATGGGCTACAAGACAATTGGCAAGCAGCTAGGTGAGAAGGAGTCGACTGTTGGTGCAATGATAAGAAAATGGAAGAAACACCAATTGACTATCACTCTCCTTTGGTCTGGAGCTCCACGCAAGATCTCACAATGTGGAGTGAAACTGATGATGAGAAAAGCGAGGAAACAACCCAGAACTATGTGGCAAGAGCTTGTTGATGATCTCAAGGCAGCTGGGGCCACAGTCACCAAGATTACCATTAGTAACACACTACCTCAGTGGACTGAAATCATGTACTGCCTGCAAAGTCCCCCTACTCAAGAAGGCACATGTACAGGACCGTCAGAAGTTTGCAAATGAGCACCTGGATGATTCAGAGGAGGTTTGGGAAAAGGCCCTGTGGTCAGACGAGACTAAAATTAAGATTTTTGACATCAACTCGACTACCCGTGTTTGGAGGGGAAAAAAAGCTGACTTGGACCCCAAGAACAGCATACCAACCATTAAGCATGGTGGTGGAAACATTATGCTTTGGGCCTGTTTCTCTGCTAAGAGAACAGGACGACCACACCAGGTCAAGGGAAAGATGGATGGGGCCAAGTACAGGGAAATCTTGAGTGAAAACCTCCTTGCCTCAGCCAGGACACTGAAGATGGGTCATTGATGGGTGTTCCAGCATGACAATGACCCAAAGCATATTGAGTAAAGGAGTAGCTCAAGAAGCAACACATTAAGGTAATGGAGTGGCCTGGTCAGTCTCCGGACCTTAATCCTTTAGAGAATCTGTGGAGGGAGCTGAAGCTTCAAGTTTCCCAATGACAACCTACAAACCTTAAGGATTTGGATCTGAAAAAATTTGGTAACCAACAACAGGAAATGTCTGGCTGCTGTGCTTGCCAACAAGGGTTTCTTGGCCAAATACCAAGTTGTGTTTTGCTATGGGGTGAAATACTTATTTTTTCTATAAAAAAGAAATAAATGTTCAAAAATTAACATAATGTGATTTTCTAGAATTTTTTTTATATTTTATCTCTCACTTTCAAGACAGCCCTATCCTGAAAATTGTAGACCGTTCCAATTTTTTTTAAGTTGGCAAACTCAAAAAAATCAGCAGGGGATGTAATACTTATTTCCCCACTGTACATGAGATGTCACGTGCACATGGACAGTGGAATATGAACAATCTACTTTTGTAGATTAAAGAAAGGTTTCAGTCAAAATTCCCTAAAGGTTACCGTGTTCAACATTCACCTGATGAAGGCTGAAAGGTGCAGTGGTGGAGATGTGATAACAACAACAACAAAATGAGGCTCAATAGTCCACATGATAACTCCTCATTCCAGAATTTCTGACAGAAACAAAAGATTGTTTTTTATAAATACTGCTCACATACAAACTTTTCTAAGAAAAACCTTTGTTTAGGTTGGGCATCATGTAAAAGATGTGGTAAAAGAGTGAATTAAAAAGTATATTAAGAAGGTCATCTTCACTGTGTTTTCACATCAGTTAATTTTCATTGTCACTCACCTCATTAAGTGATACAGTGAAACCCGGATATAAGAGAGATTTTTTCTGCTCCCAAATTAGAGCTTGTGTTAATGTATATAAAATAGACCAAACCCGGATATAAGAGAAACCCGGATATAAGAGACTTCTTCTCCGGTCCCGACAACTCTCTTATATCCGGGTTACACTGTACAAGATAAATAATAATAATGACTTGAAAAAAATGAATCAGGACTGAAAACTTTTCAGTACACATTGCATTGAACAAAGATGTTAATTCTCTTAGCTTTTATTTATTTTTTAACAAGTATAAATAAAATGTTGAACACTTTCCTTTATTTTTCATATAACTCAATAAAGACAAAGAAAAAATCTAAATATTGTCCTCTCATGGTTTTCAAACCCTTCCTGTTACTCATTCACAAATAACATTATGACAAGTGTTTCTACTTAAACTGACAATATTCTTCTTTAGTGATTTTAATTCTTTTATCATCAATATATGACTCTGCATGTTATGAAAAATGTTTAAAAATAGAATCTTTTTTTTTATTTGACCCTCAAAGCTGAATTTTCCAGTCATTGATTTTTGTAAGGATGTCAGTAAGTTTAGAGTTTGACTATAAAATCTAGTACTGCCATGGACTTTCTGGGGGGGAAAAAAAACCCCATATAAACGCATTTTAAATAATTTAAATACCTTCTTTGAACATAAATTTCAGTTCTGTTTGAAAGATAATTGCCTAAAGCTAATCCAAATTAAAAGAAAAATCAATTTCCATTTTATCAGTAAACTTTTTAGTTATTTTTAAAACTCGGCACGTTTTTTCATCACTCATCAAATCATCGAGCTGCCATTGTATATGAAGAATGTAAACAATAAATTTAAAATTCTCCAATATTTGTCCTAGAGATGTGTTTTGAATTGAAGTCTATTAGTAAATTTATGGATTAATTAATTAGATTTTCTAAAAGTAATGTTTTCTGTTTACTTCAAACAGAATGAACTTGATGTTTTATTTATGCACGGTAGCCTGTGAGGTCAAAAAACACTGTAATTGTACCCCTGTCTGAAAAAGCATACAGAAATATAGAAGACCAGCATTGCAATAATCCAGATTTTATGTTTAAAAATAAATTTTCTTTTAACCTGATATAACCAAGAATATACTTTGTTATTCTGTACACTTTTATTAAACTTAGAAAACTTAGTGTAATATTTATTTTTTTTTTATATGAATGAAATAGTTTTTTCATAATTCTGAAAATTTTCTTGGTGGACAAGAAAATTTTCCTGGTGGACAAATTATGCAGAAAAAATAAGACGACGATTTGTTTTTGAATATTTTTAAATTGATTAATATCACAATACTCTTCTGATATTGAATCTTAGTCAAAGATATAATAATGATGTCCATTTTTTACATCCATGCAAAAAATAATCTAACAGTTATAGTGTAACCCAGATATAAGAGAAACCCGGATATAAGAGAGATTTTCTCTGATCCCAAATTAGAGCCGACAACTCTCTTATATCCGGGTTACACTGTACTAAAAGGAAAAAAATAAAAACTTTTTTGAAATGGTTCACACTCGAAAATGGTATTAAATTTTACATTTCTTAATCTTCAAACATGCCTTTATTTATTTATTTATTTATTTATTTATTATTAATAATAATAATAATAATGTCCTGGAGAATATTATTTTAAAAATAATAAGTGTGCCCTGAGCAAAATTAAAAGAAATAATCATATTGGAACTTGGTACACAAGTGTAAGTAGGCCTTATTCTTCAGAAAAAAAAAACAAAATTGTTTTCATGTGTATGTTTGTGTTTATAGAATAGAATTGCTCTGAAAGTAATGTTTCCATTTATGTTGGCCCACAAAGTATGCAAAGTGATTTTAAGTGGAGAAACATCTTTAATGAAATTCATTTACTTGGTGCTATGCAGTTGAATGACTTTTTTTTTTTTTTTAGAAAAGAATCAATTGCCTATTCTTTATCCAGTGCTTAATTTCAGATTTGTAATTATTTTATTTGAAAGTTTATATTTACCATTCTGTCTAAAACAAGGCAATGGCTTCAATCAAAATTTCATTATGCATTATTTGATAATCTCATTATTGATTTCATTTTATTAATATCTTTCTTTTCTACATTTGAAAGTTTTTTTTTTTAACAATTTTCTTTTTTTTTCTTTTTGCTATTAATTTTTGTTCTTTTTTTCTATGTAATAATTTGTTCTGATGAAGTGCCATGGATTCATGAAAATGTTTTCAGTCATTGGTTTAAATCGAAAAAAAATTATTAAGTCAAAAAGTTTTTAAGTGCCTTTCTATTACTTTTCATTACAATTCAATTTTTTTTAATATCCACTTTGGAGAATTTAAACACCCAACACAGCTGTGTGCACAAGTGAAATTGACAAGTGCTGTTCCTTGTCCTTGAATAATTTAAATATATTACACATGTCTGTTTTCAGTTCCATCCCTGAAATATATTAGAAGCACTCAGCGCTATGATGACTATAAAGTGCACCTGAGGGAATAGTCTCTTTTTTTTCTTTCTTCTTTTAGACTTACTTCACATGCCCTTTGAGAAGACATAAAAGCATCTCTCCCAGTATTCTGTTCCTCTCCTGATATCCCCAAAATGTCAGCTGCTGGTGCTTCCTAATCTATTACAACATGATATTTGGGAAAGAGATAGACACTGTCAACAAAATCCCAATCGGTCCCTCTTATGACTGGTATATTATTGGGCCGACTGACCAACTATCTTGTATAAATAAAAAAAATGATTCTATCAAACTGATTTTTTATGTGAAAAGAGCAACACCTTTCCTTTGTTCTTGATGCTTAAGCATTGTTTTTTTTTTGCTTCAAACCCATTTGTTGTGTATTTGACCTTCTACTTTTGAATACATAAATTATGTGATTGTCAGATTTAGCCATTTTCTAAAGTCCACCATGTTGAAATCTGAATTTAGGGGATTGGCTATTTTAATGTTATTTTCTCTCTTTATCAACAAATATTGCAGCCTGACCTTTCCTTTTCTTAAGAATGAATATCTTTCTCATCTTTCTATGAACCAAGTAATTAACTTTTCCTCCTGTCAAACTGTCATGCACAAAATTGAGAAATGAACTGAAAGCTTATCATTGAGAGTTGTTGCATATTTTTTTTATCTTTCCAGCTGCACTATGACCACAAGGCTGTCAAAGAAATACAAAATATTTACTCTGCCATTTTCCAAGATGCAGAAAAAGAAGGTTATATGTGGAATTTCTCCATAGCTGATCTTGCTCAGGTATTTTTCCAATAGATTTCTAATTAACCTGTTTTATTTTCATAATTTAAAAAAAAAAAAATTGTGTATAAAACTTTTAGCCACTCTTCATTTCTATTCACTTTTAAGTGCATTATTTCTAAGATTTCACAAATCATATAATATATATGATTTGTGAAATCTTAGAAATAATGCACTGAATTAAATGAAAGTTGGTAAAAACTTGTCTGAAATGAAAATTCTTAGGCCAAAATAAACATTTAGGATTTGAAAAAAAAAAAAAAAGAAAATCACCAAGAACCACCCATTTCTAGTTTTCAGATTCCATTTTTATGGAACAAAATCTGTTGAACGAAACAGGCTTTACCTCCTTTTCTTTAAAATTCTCTATTGTCACTAAAATTCCATTGAGTTTTGGGTAATTTTTTTAAAAAATTTTTTTCTTAATATTCTTTAGTGAAAAGTTCAACCTTTTAGGCATCAGTTACTTGAAAAATAAATTGACAAATGGAATTTATTTTAATTCTTAGACAACTTTATCTGTATTTCATTGCAATTAAATGTTTCCTTTTAAGATGTTGACCACCATCTTTGATCTTAGAGTAGGCAGAGGAATGGAGACACTTTAATAAGCCAATTTTCACACCAAGTATTACACAATGGAGATTTTGATTGGTGGAACACAGAGGAGAAAGTTGATGTCTGATGACTCTGGTACCTGTGAAACAAGATTGGGTGTGTGTGTGTGTGTGTTCATCTTACTCTAACCATTTACCTCATCTACATATATAATTACATCAGTACATGTTGTCAACTGACAAAACTGGAAATGCAACCTTCATTCAATTCCTTATCAGGCCACAAGGACTAATTTGAATACCGATAAATAATGACTAAATAGAAAGTCAGTTTCCAACAAGTTAGTATCACTAAAACAGTTGTGACAAACTATCAACTAAAACAACCAAAATTAACTAAAGCTTGACTTCAAATGAAATGATCTTATGTGAAACCAAAAAAAATCATATTCAGCTGATGTTATAGTGATTTTCTAAGCTCAGTTTATATGTGGCACAATGATGAAAGTGTGAAGCACCCAGTGACGATCAAACTCACTACTCAGTTGTAATGGATCTAGGGAGACAAATGTGCTAACCATTACATCACATCACATGCCCCATTCAACTGATGCTATACTAAAACGTTTTTTGGTGGGGAGTACAAGACTATGCTATGTGAAGCAGTTTCAATATTTTTCTAGTGTTCAGGTAAGAAAAAGAGAAAAAAAAGACAGGATGATTTCAAATGCTGATTTTCAAGGCAGGAAATCCCTCTCCATTGGGAAGATTACTGCAACAGTTTTTCTCTCCAATTTTCATTACATTTATCCTTGTGCCAAACTAGGTTAAGCTTATTTGTCTTGTATTGTACAGTGTGTCTTTAGGGTATAGACAATCATAGCTGTCCACAACTTTCTTATCCTTTTGTAACTTTTAACAAGGTTTGTCATTTTGTTTTCTCTTGCAATCCTTGTCCTGCCATCCATTTACACAAGTTCATTAGCTAAGTTACTCAATGATTTCTTCCATTCCTTTTGTCTTCAATATATTCTGTGAGTGTTAGATTCTCCACGCACTCTTTCCTTATTATGTAACCTAGAAATTTCAATTATCTTTTTCTCATTCTAAGCATTATTATTATTATTATTATTAACAATAATAATAATAATAATGTCCTGGAGAATATTATTTTAAAAATAATAAGTCTGCCCTCCATGTTGGAGCAAAATTAAAGGAAATAATCGTATTGGAACTTGGTACACAAGTGTAAGTAGGCATCATTTTTTTTTTCCATTGACTTTACAATTTTGTCATTACTCACATGTTCAGTCCATGGGATGCTCAGCATCCTTCTGTAGAACCACATTACTGCTGCCTCAAGTCCCTTTTTCCTATGTAAGGAGTTTGTCCAATATTCACTGCCCTAGAGGCAGGCAGACATATCACATAATGGTTTAGTACAGTTTTCTTTTGTTTCTAACAAAACTTTCCTGTTTCTTAATACTTTACTTAGTTTTTGCAAGGCATTTTTCACTATCCCAATGCACCTTCGGATTTTGGTATCACATTTTCCATCCTCAGTTAAAAGACTTTTTAAAATTTTTGTACTTGCTTGATTTTGATATCTCCAACTTGTAGATCACATCTTGGAATGTTCTTTTTACTAATTTAGTGCCTTTAAGGATGTTTTCTTTTTCTGTCTTAAAACTTTCTATTTACATTTCTTATATTTCCAGGGATTGTTTTCAAAAAGTAATTAATCTTTGAACTCTAGCCACAATTAAGTCAATCTCTTGTTTATAAATCCCTTGAGTTTTTCCCCATTCGTTTATCTTGAATGAAGAATATTCAAAGAAAACTTGATTGGTTTGCTGTTTCATATCACCCATGTATCAGATTTGTGTTATTGTTTGATTTACTTCAAAATGTAGAGCAATTTTTTCAGGTGGAAAGGAAATTAAGCCGTGTCACATTTAATCTATTAAGTTAGAAGAGTGGGGTACATCTGTTTGCCTTGAAAATCAACATTTAAATTATTTTTTTTTCCCATTTTGTTTCTTAACCGAGCTCAAACATCCACTTTGTCATCAAAGAAACTTTCCTCCCTCATGAGTCCTGTCTATTTCATTGAGCTGTGATCTACAGGTTTGAGTTGAATTTTAAGTCTCAATCTACCAGTTTGTATTTTACTTGTTTTTTCTAAAGTCCATTGCTTTTTTTTTTTTTTTGAGACTCCCTTCTTAGGGACTCTGTTTTTGTGAATCATACGCACCTAATATCATTAATAAATTTTATTGAATTCACTATTAAACCCCCTATTTTGTTTGTTTGATTTTCATTTTTTATTCTTTGCTGCCAGATTATTTCAGATTTGGATGACAGTGAAGAAAAAGAAGGTTATTTGAATCGATTAGAGGAGAACATTTGTCGAATGCAGTTTCAGTCGGATACATTCAAGTCTTATGATCTGTACCAATGTGGGTGAGTAATTTGACCTTTGATTTTCCCAATTGAAAAATAACAGAAACGAAAAATGTGATTTGAAACTCAACATGATCTCTTCAGTGTTTTAGTAACCATCACTGTTTCCATGTTATTGGTCTTGGCTTGGCATCTTGACTTTCACTTTCGCACCACCTTATAGATTCCTTCTGTCTTGTCTATGAATATTTTCATGGTAATTGTTCTGATGAGCTTGCCTCTTTGGTACCTTGACTTCATTAATTTAAGCACAGTACTAGGCTGGCAGTTAGGTCTCATCATTTTACTGTTGGAATTGCTAGATCTAACTGCAAGTTCTATTCAAGTAGTTTCTTCTCTCTCTCTTCTCACTGGTGGAGCTTTCTTCTGGCTTTTTGATTTCCTGTTAACTATGTCTTTCAAAAGTTCAAATGTAACATTAATCCCCTTATCTTCTGTCTCCTGTTCTGTTATTGTCCTCTCTCTCTCCTCATTTTCTTTAAGTCTCATCACACCCCCCCTTGCATGTTAGTAGCTTTATTACCTTGTTTAGGGAGAAATTATTAAAAAAAAGAAAGAAAATGATTGAATTTCATTTAAGGTACATCTTTTTGACATTTATCATTGCCTTTATCAATATGAATTGATATTTTTTCCTGCCCTCAGCCAATTTTCAAAATGAGTTTTCTCTCTTTCCTCATCATATTTTCTGCCTTTTAATATTCTTTGAATGCAGATGTTCTTTTCAGTTCAACCCGCCTGCACTGCACATATCTGCACTGTATTTAATCAAGATTATATTTAACACCCGGTTCTTCATTCAGAAACAAAATTTCCCTTTTCATGGAATCTTCATGGACTTCAGAGATCTAATTCAACAACTTTAATGTTGCATGTTGAGCATTTCAGTCTAGAGTTAAAAAATGTCTGAAAGATGAAAATTAATAGAAAAAGGCCAAAAAGCAAATCACTTCTTGCATTACTAGTTTTTAAATGTTTTTTTACTAAGCTTAATCTGAAATAAGGCCATATATATATTGCACTCAGTGAGGACTGACCTCACTACTGTAGTAATCATCTGCAAAACTAACCTACTGCTGCAAGGTGAGGTAGCCATAAATTATTGGTTCCCATTCCTTGATGAAATACAAATGCTCATCAAATTAGTAAAAAGATTTAATTTACAAGCAATTTTTTGTATTTTTTCTTTTTAATAGTTTTATTGCTTGAGACTTATGCTCTGCTTGTATTAAAATCGTGTGTGTGTGTGTGTTTCCCTTTATCAGCTGTTATTAACAATAAACTTATATCATTTCTTTTTTTGTATGCATACCAAAGTAATAAAAAAATGAGCTGAGCTGTTTTCAAACAAATGAAAAAGGCTGAAAAAAAAAAATGAAATCTCCCTCTTGTCTGAATAATTCTTTTTACATTGATTTTTTTTTTTTTTTTATGACTTAGAATTCTTTGTATGGTTTTTAGGTCATTTTCTTTTATGGTGAAATGTTTCTCTTTTCATTACCCAGTGTCTCATACTTTTATGCACAAGAAACTTTTGGCAGTGATAAGCAAGAAGTAAGTTCATAATAGTTCACATTATAAAAATGTCTGTTTTATTTCAATGAAACTTTATAAAACCCAAATTGACATGCTTGTAAGAAACTGAAGAACAAACTTTTTCTATTGTATTTTCGGCATCAGAGAATCTATAAATTTGATATTGGTGTTTTCCTTGAAACAAAACTGATGTTGTATTGGGGGAGGGTGCTTCTATTTATTCCCCTTTCCCTCCAAGAAAAAAGTCTTGGATTAATATCTCATTCAAGAAATTCACCTCCAAGATGAAAAGGGTGCATCTTCAAATTTACATTGGATTGATAGATTGAGAAAAAATTTGAAAAGAACCATGTTGAATTAGTTCATAAGATGAAGAATCTCGTTGCATGTTATGTATTTTCGTGTTCTTTGATAGAATGTGTGTGTAATATTAATTATATGTCTTTTCAACTCAACTGTTTTGGAAAATATCACAGAAAGTCACATGAAAAAGAAACAAAGAAGAAAGGTGACAAAATATATTTAATAATAAAGAAGAAAGAAAACATACTGAAAGGGAATACACATAAAAAAAATAAAGTACAAGGCATTGTGAAACGGCTTCAAAAAATAAGCAAAAAAAAAAGCAAATGTAGGCTAAAACAGACAAATAAAATTTTCTATGCAAGGCATCGTGAATAGTAAAATAAAGACCCTTAATATGAGCAACATAATTTTGTGATGCATTTTAAGAAAAACGACCTGGACAAAAATTAAGTTTTCCATGAAGATATGTTGCACAGAATTTTCAGAGACTAAAATATTAAATTAAAAAAAAGATTTAAAAAGTATTTCTTTTTGATAAGCATAGAGGTTAAATGCTGGAGTGGGTGAAGAAATCTCTGAGATTTTAGGTGCTCTAACATACATGTTAGCATCACTTCAGGCAAAGAAATCTTCTCTCCAATATGGTTGGGGGGTGGGGGTTTGACTGAACCCACAAATAGAAGCAAGCATTTCTGTCTGTGCAGATTTTTGCCAAAAAGATTCTGAAATTTTTGATTTTTCTAAATGTTAATTTAATACAAATTAAGAGAACAAAGACTGATAGATCATAATTATTGTGTTGGTAAATACCAATTCAGTTGGTATTTGTTTCAGTTTTAGGATTAATCACCAGGAAGTGATTAGGTTTTACACACTGATCAGTTCAACCAGAATTTGAAGAGGAAAAGACACACAAGTCAGAAAGGGAAAGCAGGGGAACTACACTTTGCCATGACACCGGGGAGTGGGGGGGGGTCTAATTAAAAAAGATGTCTGACAGTTTGTACTTTGCCTATAAGCCAAAAAAAAAAAATTAGCAAAGACAATGTCTATATGCAGGCTTTTATACAGAATGCACAGATGTTAGAATAAACAGTTTGAGTCAAGACAATTTTTAACAAGACACTTCCTGGAATTTGTTATATATTTTTTTTTTGTTAACTCCTATTTCCTTATTTTAAGGCATAATTCTCCCCCACTAGCCAGGTATGTGATAAATAGCACAGTAGACTAAGCTCTTTAGCCTTGAGTGGCAGCCAATCTATGAGAGGGACTACAATAAATTCAAAACTTTGGAGAAAGCAACAGGAAACAATTCCTTTATCTTTCTGAAGATAATTTATGGCAATTCACAGATAATAAGTGAAAGGAAGCTGTGAAGAGCCATATTTTTTTCTATTTAATATTTTTTATGGTCTTTAGTTTTAATAGTATTTTAATAAGAAATATGGCAATAAATTTAAAAATGACTAATCTAATTTATAATTGGGTGGAAAATATCTTACTATCAAATCTATAAATTGTGTAAATTTTATTACTTTATCAACAACTGACACTAAATATTCATCAGTTAAGAAAAATAGCAAAAATTATCAACTTAGGTCAGGCCACTATACATGTATTTATTTTGATACATGGTTGAAATGATGTAAATAAAATGGATTTCCTCCTATAGATTCCCATTTCTATACCTATATCTATTATACCTAAACAAAAGTAAATTTATTTTCTAAAAAAGTTATTTTTTAATTATAATACTTGAATATAATTATAAGAATTACTTTTGTCTGATTGGCCAATAAGCCACAACAAATTCAGTAAAACTAACATTGTATTCAAGACATTAATGTTTTATCAAAAATGTTAATGAATATGTTGTTTAAAAGAGGAGTAGATAATTTTGCCTATCACCTGGTTCACACTCCTTCCATGTGTTTTGAACAGGGATTTATCACTTGTTTACTGTTTAGGATTGGATTTCTGACTCCTCCTCTTAAAATCTTCTTATTTTCTTTCACTCCCAGTAACCCCTTAGTGGTATTATCACCTTGCTTTGTGTTGAAATGATAAAAAATAAAATTAATACAAGTTGATCAATAAATGCTTTTTTGACAGAATTGTTAGGGTTTCCATTCTGAGGATTTCTGTCTAAATATGTTAGAAGCAATGTACAAAGTCTAACCAGAAAAAAACGAATAAGATTCTATCTTAATTTGGAATAAATATTCCTCTCTAACATGTTTTCCATTTTATCTGGTATGCAAGTGAAAATTCCTTTCTTATCATTTCTCTACTTTGTTTAACTCCTCTTTGCCTGACAAGTCACTAAACTATATCAGATTTTATTATGTAATTGTGAAAATTTTTAAGATCTATTTATATCAACAATATATCATGTGAGTTTCACCTCATAAGATCTATCATTATTAAAAATATTGATAAGAACTTGTTTTGGGTTTGTAAGATTTTATTATGCAATGTGCAAAGAATGTTTTTATAAATAAATCCAAATTATGCAGTCCATAGAAATATATATATTTGGTTAACACAATATCACATATAACTGAGTAAATTATTAATTCTACATATTATTATGGACTCCTTGACATTTTATAACTTTCATCAGTCTTTCTGCCATTGGTTTTGTTAATTTTTTCCATTGTTTCAATTTCAACATTACTTTTTATTTTAAGGAGTTTTTATTGTTTCCCAGGAGTCTTCTTAACTTGAATATTGTTTTCCATTCTCATACATGTCTCATTTAATGATGGATCACACATTTTCTATTGGATTAATACCTGGTTGAAGACGAGGACCATTCCATAATTTGATGTCTTTCATGAAACCGGTTTTAATAAGGAGGGCAACAGTCAGATTTGCAGAATGTGAAGGAACATTGTCTTGCATGAATATATTTTTACCCATCCATTATTAGTTCCATTCAATTTAGTTCTACATTCAATACTAATAATTACTGTTGAGAAATCAGTTTTCATGTACTTCTTCACCCATCTTTCATGTTTCTCTTTGTTTTGTTTACTTAAAAGTGGTAGTTTGGTTACATTCATATCATTTTAGCCAATCATCTTAATATCCTGCATCTTTTTATTCTGTTTACATTTGAAACACTTGCTTCATCAAATCTTTTCTTGATAAGC